TCCATCTCTAACTTTTTGCCAACTTTGAAATCCCTTAACAGGGAAAGCATGTTGTATAGAATGCCTAGATGGTTTGTTAACAAGATAACACATTAGACAAAAAGTTGCATGTTTCTCAGGAGAACATTCTAACCACAAAGAAAATAGTTTGAACCATGAACTTTGAAAGCCACGATGATGAGTTACTGGTCCTAATTTCGAATATACTTGGATAGTATAAATTGTTATGGACCTCCCTTAATGTAAGCTCATCAAATTTCATTACGTTGATTAACATGATGATTCCATATTTGTGAATCTAGTCATGGGTGGTGCTCTAAAGAACTAATAGCAACTGTTGGAAAATTTAATATTAACTAATATTGATTTTCCTATTTGAATGGAAATTAATAAAATCCATTGAGTTAAAGACATGACCCTTGGGTTAAAGACATCTTCACATGGGGGGTGACAACTTTTCAAACCAAGGGATGCATTGTTTGGGGTGACAACTCTTCAGATCAAGGGATGCATTGTTTGCCTTTTCAGATTGAGATACCTTTTTTAGAAAGGGTATTTCATCATCTATAAATAGAGCAATCTTTTTGTAGTTTTTATTCATTCAGTTTAATTCTCTACATACAAACTTTCAGATATGTAGAGCATTAGAGTTTTCATAAAGAGAGGTTTCTACATAATTTGGTTCAAAGTTCCTTATGAATTGCAGTGCTTCTTTCACAAGGAGAGGAGTCGTATCCTGGAAGGCGAACGCTAGTGAACCATATGCACCAGTATGGGGCGTAATTTGTCTTAAGGTCAGAGTGTCCAACACATGCCTCGACTCAATTAAGGTTCTTCTAATTCAATTCTCATTTTGTAAAAATCTGTTTTATGTGCAGTATTTATTTTGTTTATTTTATAGCAATTTAGCACTCATATTTCCAACAGTAACTTCATTGTCATTAATTTCAATTTCTAGAGATCTAGAATGATTTTTAGAAACTATCCTCTAATTTATAGTAATAGGTTGGTAGTCCCCTTTTAATTATATTAATTTTATTGGTGGGACCCACAAATTACTTATTTTTTTCACCGCTACATATTTAGGATAATATGTCTAATAAAATTTGAGAGTTTTTTCATATCTATGGTGAGTTCTAGATTGTGTTTTACTGTGTAAATAGGAGAAAATCAAAGAGCGAGAAAAGAGAGCTAGGGTTCTTGTGAGACCGAAGAGGGTTCTTGATTGTAACCAAAGTTGTTCTTACATAATAGCGAATTTCTCCGATGGATTGACATGATAAATAACTAACACACAAATTAAACCCTATAAATTATGCAATCGTAGTACACGTAAGTAGGGATCGTTCTATTCCGGGGATTAGGAGGGATGCTAATCAACACAAATTAAACTTACTAAACTGAAAACTAAGTTAAGGGAACAATGATTGGGGGAATTTGGACAATTTAGACTAAAGTAATATTAACAGCAGCAAACAACTAAGTTGTGAATGAAATATGGATGAAGGGATAGCTAGAGGATTCCTCTCCACACATGGAACATATGCACACAAATCGATCTCCAGTTACTCTTTCTATAAAGTATGAATGACAATGCCCCAAATTAATTGTGAATGCACTAATTAACTCTCAAATTTTCCTAAGATCATTGAATTGGACTCAGCGACGCAATCAAATTATTCTTATCATCAAGTTCCTTTTATGAACAGCATGATAGAGATACATATCAAAGATCATTAAGTTCTATGAAAATCATAAGCCTTAACAAGGCAATTGTAACTATGAAAAACATGATACTACTGCCAAGAATTTACTTAACGCAATCATGACTAGTGACTTTTACTAATTGTGAATATAAGTTCATAACGATTAGGTGAAATTCCCTTATATTCTAGCATCAAATCCCTACATACAAACTAAGTATGCATCCTTAATAAACATGCAAGAATAAGTCCTCAATAAAACAGAAAAGTAAATCACATTCATACTTTATGAAACCATAACTGAATGTAATCAATTCATATAAAACATATGTCCATGACTTCGAATTCACCTCTAACTAAGAAGAAATTCAGTCACACATGTTCATAATAATTGAAAAGCAATCTAGAATAAACATTTAAACTAATCAAGGGAAGAACTCTGAAAACCCCAATAGATGCAGCAGGTTCTGGCTCCAAGTTCTTCTTCTCTCTTTCTCCTTCTTGCTACGGCGCAAAAAAAAACTCTCTTCTCCTGCGGCAACCCCTCCTTTATATACGTGGTAGATCTAGGGTAAAAAGGCCCATCAGAAACCCACGAAATTAGGGTTTTTTTTGGCAGATTTCTTTAGGAACAAGGATAGGGCCTAGGTGCCATCTTTTTAGGAAAGATGTGCCGCCCAAATGCTTTCTTCTAGAACCAGGTTTTTAGGTTTCCTAATCTGAAATTAATCTCCCCCTTTTCCTGCTGGAATTTAGGTAGAATAGGATTAGGATAAGGTAAAATAAAATAAAATTAGTTAGGGTTTTTTACTTCCCAGAAGCTGATTCTTGAATTAATTTCCCCATCTTTTTAGCACATTCCTAGCCTCTTTGAACTTCAAAAACGTCCATCCATCTTGGCCCATGCATATGCTATCCATTCCAAGTCCAAAATTGCTCTAAAATGCTCCAAAATGCCATTTCTTGCCAATCTTGCCATCTGGACCTACTACAGTACGAAAATAAGCTAAATCACTCTAATAAATGGGAATTAGCTACGTAAATGCAAAGAAATAAGATAGCAAAGTCACATAAATATACTCCTATCATGGATCACCAAAAGGATGTAGGCATGAAGCCAAACCTTTATAAATCTTTGTGTTCTTGTGTGTTTGCCTACTCTCTTCGTGGTGTGTGTGTTTTATTCTTAAGGGGTTTGTGCGTGTGTTGTCACATGATCCATCAACGACAAGGTTGTAGAGTATTTTCGCACAACACATTTTTCATGAAAATGAACAGAGGAGAGTTACTATCATAAGTTTCACCAATGTTAATCGTGAAATCGCAAACTTCAAAAAGGAGATGTCTGCCTACATGGATTAGTTCCGAGCAGGATTATATATCAAGGTTAGAGGAAACTATATGGATTTTTTTAGATGGGATGTGCACAAAGGGATTTTTCCGAAGCTATTCAATGGATACCAACCAAATTGACAGTTGCAACCAAGTGATCCAAAAACCCAAAAAGGTTGTAATTCTAATTAAAGAAAAATATAATCATATCATGATTAACTCAAAATTATTCGTGTCAAAAATTGTCACCTCAGACGCAAATGTTTTAGATATCACTTTTATTTTAGGTATTGTGTATTCTTTTCGTTTCTAATTACTCATTCCAGCTATTGCATCATGTTGGGTGGTTGTTTGATACGAACCCCAAGGTCTGGAGACAATGAAGTATGCATACGATTTCCTGCATTTGTCCAAACAAAATTTAATAGAATACATTATTTCTTTTGTGTACTTGATGGAAAAATAACCATCCCTTGCAACAAGGAACCAGTAGCAACACACAACTGAAATTTTTTGGAATTTTATTTTGGTGGTAGAAACCGTGTTCCTAGAAAGCGAAACCACGACATTTACTCAATTCAGCATTTAATGCACCATCCAAAACACCACCTATGGATGAGTGTTTCATTGCTAAGAAGAGGGTGGAGAGGGTGGCACAGTAAATTGAAAACCCTACATCAATTATATTTTAAATAAATAGTTTAACATGACAAGGAAAGAGGTAATTAATTAGTTTCCAAGTAATATTATACTCAAGGATCCCATTGGGTTTTGAAAACCCTAGCTAGCATAAGAGTGAAGATAGTCAATGATGATGAGGATGGTGGTGGGCGAGAGAGAGAGAGAGAGAGAGAGAGAGAGATAGACTCAATAAAACCCATATGGGTGCCAGACAAGATTGGTGAGAGATTAGAAGGGAATATTTGGGAGGATGTAAGGGGAATTAGAAGGTAAATAATTAACATGGGATTAGGGTTTGCGATGTGTACATATGGAAGCAAACAAAAAACCCTTTGTGGGTCTCTCACTCACTCATAAGGTCAATGGGTCTATCTTTTCAAATGTATATATCACACACACAATTTCAGAATCTCACGAGAATTTGGAAAACCCAGGGACAGAATTCTATAGTATAATTTATATGTACGTCCAATACGTAGACAATTTAAGGTAGAAATGAAAGTTGAAACCCATTATTTATATATTCTATTGACTGTACAGAAAAAACATATTTATATATATAAAAAAATAATTTAGAGAGAGAAAAGCGAGAGGAGCGAAGAGGGTGGGGGAAAAGGAATCAGAGAAGAGGGTGTCTTTCTCTCTCTAATATTTTTTATCCCGTCGTCTCCGGAGAAGGGAAATCCAAAGTGACCATATTTTTTGGTGCATTTGATGGGTTTTGACCAGGGGGAGAGAGAGAGACCTTGTGCTCTTCTTTTCTTCTTCTTCTTAGTGTCATTTTCCAAGATATACTCTCGAGGATAACCAAACCCAAATCCTACAACTCATGACTTTCTCTCTTTCTCTCTCCCTCTTTTTCTCTCCATGACTTTTTCTTCTCTCTCTCTCTCTCTCTCTCTCTCTCTCTCTCTCTCCCTTTTTCTTCTCTCTCTCTCTCTCTCTCTCTCTCTCTCTCTCTCTCCCTTTTTCTTCTCTCTCTCTCTCTCTCTCTCTCTCTCTCTCTCTCCCTTTTTCTTCTCTCTCTCTCTCTCTCTCTCTCTCTCTCTCTCTCCCTTTTTCTTCTCTCTCTCTCTCTCTCTCTCTCTCTCTCTCTCCCTTTTTCTTCTCTCTCTCTCTCTCTCTCTCTCTCTCTCTCTCTCTCTCCCTTTTTCTTCTCTCTCTCTCTCTCTCTCTCTCTCTCTCTCTCCCTTTTTCTTCTCTCTCTCTCTCTCTCTCTCTCTCTCTCTCTCTCCCTTTTTCTTCTCTCTCTCTCTCTCTCTCTCTCTCTCTCTCTCCCTTTTTCTTCTCTCTCTCTCTCTCTCTCTCTCTCTCTCTCTCGTGAGCATGTCTGTTCCAGAAGATTGCTGTCTTTCTTTGCTTTAGCTCAATATCCCTTTTAAGTTCTACCTGCACTTAATTTGCTCTTCTTCAAAGCATACACACAGAACAAAGCTTTCTACATATTCTTTGGAAAAAAAGAAGCAAATCTCCCTCAAATATCTTGAAACTCGAAAGAAAGAAGAAACCCACTTGCCAATATCACCTCCAACTTTTTTTCTTTTTAATTGTTTTCTTCAACTTTCTTCATTAACAAGTTGGATTGAGCAGGGAAACAAAAAGCAGAAAAGAAAAGAGAGCCACTATTTGTTTTGGTAAAGTAGTGAATTAGAAAATGCCCTTGGAAGGGATTTTCATTGAACCCTCTTCAACAACTACTTCTCCACTTCCCGATCTTTCCCTTCACATTAGTCCTCCAAACACTTCCTCCTCCTCTTTATCAATTTTCAATACCACTTCTGGCGAACCCCAAATCTCCACCACTAATTCCCAAGCACACACTGAGCTCTCTCTAGGGAGACGCTTCACCGGTGGAGCTCATGAAGAACCACCACAAAAGCCTTATCATCATCATCAACAACAAAGTCTTCCTCTTTACCGTTCTAGCAATCACCTAAGTCACATAAACAATGGCGTTTCGCTACTCGATGTGTCATCATCGGAGGGTTTGAGGCCGATTAAAGGGATTCCGGTCTATCAAAATCGTCCATTCCCTTTTTTGCCGACGGAAAATATGATTCCAAGAGATCATCCCAAGGATTCCAAGGTGTGCTTCTACCAAAGGCCTCCGCCTTCCTATAATCTTCCTTCTTTGCCTTCTGCCTCATGCTCCTCAAATACGCCGTCTACGCCTTATTTTGGAGGAGGCTTGGATCCTATGTCAAGGTTTAATGGGTTCTCATCAATGGATCCCTTCAAATCCAGCAACCAGTTGCACCACCACCATCATCTTCATCATCTTCATCACAATCAGTATGGAATTGGAGGAGTTGGACCAATTTCTGAGGCTTCCCATCATGGTATCATGAGATCGAGGTTTTTGCCGAAGCTACCGACAAAACGAAGCATGAGAGCTCCGAGAATGCGGTGGACAAGCACCCTTCATGCTAGATTTGTTCATGCTGTTGAGCTTCTTGGTGGCCATGAAAGTAATAAATTAATAAAACCCTTTTTATTCGGCAATTTTTTTTTTCATTTTTGCAAAATTCTCCTTTCTCCTCCTCTTTTTTTTTGTTCTTAATTTCATTTCCGCTTCTTAATTTTTTGATTCTTTTGATTTAGGAGCTACTCCAAAGTCAGTTCTTGAGCTCATGGATGTCAAGGATCTCACACTAGCTCATGTCAAAAGCCATTTACAGGTAGGTACTCTCTCTCTCTCTCTCTCTCTCTCTCTCTCTCTCACATATGTTCATGTGGGGCGGTGTTGCTCTATTACACGGGGCACAGTTACCAATGGGAGTGTGAATGAACGAATTAAAGAGTAGTGAGCTATAATATTGAGTCTGTCTGAAACTTCTGGATTAGACTGACTTCTCTCTGCTTTCAGAGAAAGATAAAATTTTAAACAAAAGAAGCAAATTTAAAAGATCCAAGTCTGAAACTAAAATACATAATAACAGACAAAAGTAGTCATCATTTCCCAATAATAAAGCTTCTTCTTAATTACTTCCTTATCCAACATCAACCTCGTGATTATTGTTTCGTCATCCATCGTTATTATTTAATGATGAAAACCAAGAAAATCACAGAAGCCCAAGGAGAGAGAGAGAGAGAGAGAGGGAGAGAGAGATCTGAACTAATACAATGAGAATAGATATTTATATAATTTGTGTGTGTGTGTTTTAGGCTTTGAATTAATATTTTATTCTCCTTTAGCTTTCATTATTTTAATTATGGCCAATGAGTTTGCAGATGTATCGAACTGTTAAGACCACTGACAAGCCTGCAGCTTCTTCAGGTAATTCGTATTGCTAACTTTTTATTTTTCTTTTTAGCAGCCTTAACTTTTTCTTACTTACCCTTCGCATTAATGTTTTACCGCACGCATACATTTGGAAAATCTTTTACTTTACCTGTGGTTGTTTGTTTTCAATTGTAAATAAACCCTATCATATGGATATATCATAGATATAATGTACATCTGCTGCAGTCAACATTTGACCATAAAGGCCTTATACATGCATTCATACATTATACATACATCATGTTATGTCATGTCATGTCATGATGATATACACAGTGATGTAGTTCATTATTACATGCATGAATTTTTTATTTTGAATTTTTTGTCAGACGGATCTGGTGAGGACGACATTCTCTCTCCAATTGGCAGTGCCACTGATCTTCATGGCCTGCGCAGTCCTCATCAATTTCCAGAGCAACGTGGACCGTCCGATCGGTCCTCGGTGCAGCCAGACCTCGACTACACTTCCAGCACCACTCTTTGGAGTAACTCTTCAAGGTAGAGTAGTCATCTTTCTCTCTCTCTCTCTCTCTAGAGTCAGTATGATGCCGTGAACTTAAGTTATATGAGTATAGAAGTATTATAATGCTTCCTTTTTTCTGCTTTTGCATGGTACCTCATAGCTTAGAAATGCAGAACCGCGTCCACCCTTTTTTTAAAGAATAAAAGGGTTCCCAGGCCAAGCAGCTTTTACTTTCTTTTCTCTGCTTGGTTTTCCTCTTTTCTCTTCTTCAAGATTTTCTTTACTGGTTAGGAAAAAGTCACTTCTTCTCAGAGTCTGAAAACAAATAATAATGGAACTAATTTTCGTTTTTATTTATTTATTTATATTCCTGCTCACATGATGAGATCTGTCATCTGTGGAGAGTTGATGCGTTTTAAAGAAAAATAAAGTAGCAAACACAATCAGAATCGTTAACCGGGATAAGAGAAAGCAACCATGTATACTTACACTTTTTCTTTTTATTGACAAGTATTATAACTTGGAATTTGAACTGTTTTTGGGATTAATATTAAACTCTAGTTCTTATTCTCTCCACGAGGACATTACATATGTGACCAAAAAGGTCATTCTTCTTGCTCCCCTTTTTGCAAAGCTCGAATAACTATATGTTAATTTAATTATCGTACACGACCCTTGTTTATATACACCACTCATGTCATGTCATTTAGCTTTTCTCTTTTGATTAAGAATTAAGCTTAGACTAAACCAACACTCTATAATACATGCAGGTGAGGTAATTTCGTACTATAAGAGAGTAGAGAGAGAAAATAATTAGGTCTAAGAGGGAGAAGGAAGATTAAATTACTTTACTATCAAAGGACACAAATGTCAATTCACCATCTTTCGTTGGTAAGTATGGATAAAAATCACCCCCTAACGCGCCTCTCCTGCACAAGTTTAGGCATACTAACTCCCCTTGTTCAAAAGCCGTATGTAGAGGATTTGGATGATTTCCATGCAGATTGTAGTCGTAGCCTTGTGTCTCTTGTGGTTTGAAACCTAACTTTTGGAAGTTTTCTCAATAGGTTTATGTGATGTTTCTTGCCATAACCCTGTGTTAGGTCAACCCTAAATAGGTTAGTTAATGGTTTAATGATTTAACTTGTAATCTTCTTCTTTGGTTAGTGGATACATCATTGCACATCGGAGTAGCTCAACCTGAGATGAACCACGTAAAGCTTATGTTTATCTGGTTGAGCTTGCGAGTTTAGTGTCTTGTTTTTGTTTGCCATCGTTTGTCAGTGTCATCTTCAAGGTAGGGAATTTTGTAGTAGAACAGGACTTACCTAACCTTACCTACATTTATTGTATACCAACGGGATGGGGAATCGAACACAAAACCTAGAGATGAATACTACATATTAACTGCTTAAGCTATAAGCAATTTGGACATTAACTACATTTCTTGAACTAGCAAATAATAGGCACTCAAAGTAATTGATGATAATGCTACAAAAGCCTTGTCTCCAGCCATCATTTTTGAGGCCTGCAGTTCTATTCATCTCCTCCTAATCACAATCGAGAAATGGAAGAACATTTTGTTCATATCCGCACCTTTTAACCAAAAAATTCTAGGTTTTTGCATCCAAAAAGCCTTGTCTTGCGCAATGACTTTGTTCTAACATGGTGCCTAAGAAAGCCTCTGGGAAAGCCAAAATCCACCTCTTGTTCAAACAACCATGTCTGTTCTGTCATCAAATCCTCCTATTCTCCCTCTTGTTAGTCCATGTGTAGCTAGACCTTATTGAATCCCATATAATAAAGGATGATATCCAGCTCACCACGACTTGAACCTTTTTCTCAATTAATCACGGACCACATTTTCACTGCTATAAAAGTTATCCAAACTAAAATCCGAGGGAGTGGTTTTGGGTCACATTATTAAGAATTCAACAATTGGACCCTATTAGGTTGCTAGAGGCTTTTCATAGATAGTCGTAAAGTCAGAACCTCCCAATAATGTTTTTAATTGATGTTCTTATAGATAGAACATCAACAGAAGCTCCAGAATCTTTGCAGCTCAAACCTAAGTGGAAAACAACTTGGGAGTTGTTTGGAATTATTCGGAGAAGGTTCCTATAGATTTTGCGCATGAAAATGTGAAGAAAAAGAGGATGATGGAGTGATGTTGTCAAGCCTACGCATGTCAAGAGTATGCTCGAACATGCAAAGAGAGTTCTGTTACATGTTCATGCATGTCGACGAGTGCTCAAGCGTCTATACTTTCGAGTTCCCTTTTTCCTTTGCGATGTGATTTTCAGTCCCGCGTTTGGTTCCTATTTCCTTCTAACATATACTTTTTCTCCCCCACGCTCTACTTTTTATCTCTTAACTTCTCTCATGCAATCAACTTCCCTCCATCACTACATTGCATAGCATAGCATGCGTGGAGGTTTCTTGTATATATAATCGGTTCATCAAATCTTTGCAGTGTATATCTTTGAATTGATAAATTCTTCTATCTGGTTTATACGAAACGAACTACCATATGTATATATGCTCTCTGGAGCTTATTATTGGTTTATCATGGCCTATAGAGTATTAGATAATGCAAATTGTTTTTTTCCTCTTCATATGATGGTTTACTTTTAGAGTTGGCATAATCTTCAGACCCTATTATATCTTGGGAAAATTTGTTCTATACGTTTATCGTTTGTGTTTCTGCAACTCAAAAAGTTATTAGGATTTGGTGCTAAAGTTGTTCTCTCCATGAAATTAATCTCAGTAGTAGAGAGGCGTTTCCGCATACTAGTTCTCATGACATGGACGGGTTAACACCAGTATCTTCCCAATTGCAGAAAATATCTGGTCATCAAATTCAGGTACAAATTCAATGTTTTTTCAATTATTTATTCATACTCATTTGATGAAGAGATCATAAATATTGAATTTTAATGAGAAAACAGAAGAAGTAATTTGTGATGTGGAATGAATTTAATGCATTTGTTTGAGAATAATTTGCAATGTAATTATGGCATTCATTAATTTGGTAAATCGAACCTAATTTGTTACAGGAATGTGATTCAACAACTCAACTGAAGAGCTATTTGGGATCTAATTTTGAGACCAGAAACCCAAGCTTGGAGTTCACGTTAGGCAGACCGGACTGGAATGGCAAACCACATGACTGATTCAATCTCTACCTCTTCATTGTTTATTTTCTCTCTTGGAAACAGAAGAGTGTTTGGTTTATTTGAGTGGATAGAAATTCTTTTTAGGGTTGTGAGTGGCTGGCTATATATATATAGCTGCAGTTTCATTAGTCCTTTTAACTGGGAGAAGCGGGAAGAGAAGAGAAAGAAAAGAAAGATGTATAGAGGGGAAGAAAATTCACATAACAATGGTGGGTTAGTTCACCTCCTCAATTGCATATATCCCAGACCATCCACGTCATTCTCAAGACTAGTGGGAATTTTCTGGGTGAGAACCTGGTGAACCCGGCTTCGGTTGCGTGTAAGCATGTTATTGTAAGTTGGAGAGGAAGATCATGATTTTTGTGTTTGATAAATGAGAGTTTACAACATCATACTTGTAAAAGTTGGCAATGGGGTTGTCATAAAAAAAATGAACAGAGTATGTATTTCCTCAAAGTTTGACCTTCGTTTTTTGTTGTTGCCCAAATTCTTGTCTTTCCAAGATTTTCTTAATCCATGGCATTGACAATGCACATTCCTCTGTGGTGTAATTGGATAAAAACCATCATTTAAAAGCAGTGAGAATGGATAACATTTGGAACTGAAACCCTATGCTCCTGACCAAGACCGATAAACCCGAAAAGAAAAAACGAGAAGAAAAAGAAGAAAGGATGCAGCATTTAGACTGAGTTTAATATATAGGACATATGTCTACGTTCTATGTATTATTTAAGATCTGCAACACAAATATAATACAAGGGAGGGCGATATATAGTATTATTTAGTAATCTTATATGGACAAGAAAATGGGCAAACTTAAAAGAGTACCTATACAATAAGCGTAGGAAGTCCTGCCTGGCCTATCCTGCGTAATAGCACCCAACAAATATGCATCAAAGTAGAGACAAGAAACGCCATCTAGAAAAAAACTTTCTCATAGATCTCATAGGTACACGGCTTGTTCTCCCACTTTACCCTTCAATCTGACGACTGCTTGTGAGCATGCCTACCATAAGTGTAAGCTGAAATTGCTGAACCAGTCACGCTAAATGATTGCTTAGCAAGGCCCAGACTTTTCTTTGCTGCCAGCCACACGATCCAAAAGAATCCAATCCAGCCTAGTTAGGAAAAAAGAAATATAATAAGATCCTTGGTTTGATAAGAATTCGAATAAGATTCCACTCAAAAATATAGATCCCGCAACACCCATCAATGAGCTGGTATTATACAACTCATGAATTTGATCGCAAAGCCTGGGAAATCGGGCACCAAGTGCAGCTATATGCAAATAATGTAGAATACACAGAATCAAGTGGCCAAAGTGGAACTAAGGTCAGTAGCTTAGTCTTTCTCGAGTAGGTAAACTAATTGTTTGTCTGCAGATGCAGATGCGGATGCAATTTTGTTATATATATATATAATGAGAGAGAAAGGATACCTTATTGGCAAGGTCGTACATGCGACCATCGGCCACACAAGTAAAGAAGACTGATTGAACCCTTGAAGCCTTACACATTAACCTTGGTTGAAGCGGCATTAATTTTTTAATGGAGGTTGTTTTTATAAACTAATTACTTGCTTTCTTATTTAAATTAGCAGGTATTTTAATTTTAATGGGCTTAAAGTTTAGCATCCGACCATCATTATAGTGGTAAGAACTGGGAAAAATAAATCAATAGAAATGGGACAAGTAATGGTCATATGGTCACGATATTCTACCTGTAGTTATCAGAACAGCTGCAATCGCAGAAATTGTGGTGGCGGAAATGACAAAAACAGCTACTGATAATGCTCCAATATATATAGCTGTTACACAGGCAAAGAAAAGGGCCAAGAATCCTCCAGCAGCTGCCAAAGACAATAGAAGAGAGATGATTATTGCATTGATAGTCGCTGCCAGGAAGAAAAGCATGAAGACCAGGAGGCCTGTCAAGGAAATAAGAGTAATGGTGCCAACCTGCAGAAAAAGACTCTGTTATTAACTCAAGTGTCTAAATGAAATTATCTGTGTTAATATCAAAGGATATCAATAGTCTGGTTGAAAAACTAGATTGGTTTCAAATCAAACTAACTGAAAAATCCAAGAACAATAGGACAAAGCAGTTGAGGAACAGTGCATGGTCTTTTGTGATTAATTATTATTCATTGAAGCATATTAAAACTGTATAACAACATCAATACGAAATTGATGGATAATATGCGTGACATGAAATGCCTTAGATCCATAATACAGAAAATTGCACCCAAAGGTCGACATCTTCATATAAACAAACATGTTTCTCAACATATTCCAAACGATAAAAAGATAACAGAAGACAGAGAGCTTTCTGATGACAGAAATAGATTTATCATTCATGAAAATAACTGCTCTGCAGGCTCCCAGTACAACAGAGGTACGAGGGAAGCTAACTGCTAGCACAGCTAATAGAGAAAACACTCTTTACAACTGTAACTAAAACTAACACAGCTAATACAAATGAGGCATGATCGAGTGTTACAACTGCGCTGTGAACTCTTTTGTCCATCATGGCCCTTCAAATTGATGGCAAGGAAGCTACCATCCGTTTCCCATAAGAGGAACTCTAACAGAAGCCAAAGCTTTGGGAAATATCTCAGTAAGTTGATCTTGACTGGACACATACTGAACACGGGAGATCCTTGCAGGTAACTTTTCCCCTAAGTATTGACACCTGTTTTAGTTCCAATTTCTTTTTCTACAACACATTCTTCCAATTGCTTTTATTCTTCCTCTACTCGACCTGATGCTTATTCTGATTCTTCTAATTCCTCAGCTCATTCTAATGCTACCTGCAGTTCCTATGGCAGATTAGCCAGCGTTTCATCCTTAGGATCTGATTTTGCAACTTCAGTCCCTGTGATTTGCATTGATTTGCCACCTTTCAATAAAAATCATGTACAGACAAGATTGAAATCTAGTATCTCCAAGAAAAAGGTTTTTGTAAGATTGAAATCTAGTATCTCAAATAAAATAAAATAAAATATAAAAAAAATTCGTAGCTTCTAAAGCACCAACTTCAACCATACAATGATTGCTAATTACTGAACCTACTTATCCTGCGGATGTTCCATTCCCCTAAATTAGCTGCTACAGCTGAGGAATTTAAATCCCTTCAGAAAAGGGAATTGGTGGTTGGTTCCTCTTCCACCCAATAGATATGTGGCGGTTTGTAAAAGGGTTTACAGAGTTAAGTATAATGCAGATGGGAGTGTTCCTTGCTGCAAGGCTAGCCTTGTAACCAGGATATCGAGAAGAGGCTTGGAATTGGCTTTCAACAGAATGAATCAGGGCTGGAGGCCATACATCACACTATGCACCAAAAAGAACGGTATAACAGACGTGGGCTTTGAAGCTGAAAAAGGAAGTCTGGAAAACAGACATGTTACCTAACAAACAGTATTTACAGCCAGAACTACAGTGACTAGAAACCTTATTACAAGAGAGAATACTACAATCAAACAACATGCTATACAGACTGGAATCGAAGAATGTCCAAGCCTATAATGCCAGACTTGACGATCTATTCTTTGCTCAAGAAAAGCAGTAGTAGGAGAGGTGATCTATAAGTGGAATGCTGGGAAGCCAGAATTGGATACAATTCATTCCTACTCTGGCTTGTGTATAAGACTTTCCTTGATATTCTGTCTTGAAAATAAAATATATAAGCATAAAATTAAAAGCAGCTATTGCTATCATGGCAAAAATGACAAACAGATAAAAGCTTTGAAGCAATGGAAGAAACTTTAAGCATTTTATCTGGAGCATGCATGAAGTTGTCAAAGATATTGACCAATATGAGTAACGGAAGGTGCTGTCCATTGACAATTGCAACTGTGTCATCACCATCATATTTAATGCTACAGATTAGATGGATAAGATTATAGATGATTTGTGCCAGTCAACCAGTAATTAGCAGCAGGACATTGACTAGAATAAGTAGTCATTGCAGCCAAGTAAGGTTGTTGCCATTTGCCCTGATATTTTCTTGAGATAATAAACATACTTTCACTAATGAAAAAGAACAACGAAATACACAGGAAAAGTTGTTCACCTAACTATACTACTCAACTACAAACACAAACCAGAGTTAAACATCATAATATTACATGACAACAGACAAAGCATGAACTAAATAAATACAGCAGCACTCCCATCATAAAATATATCCTAGAACTAACTATCCTTAAACTCTGAGGATATCGACACCCAAAGGGGAGCCCAAAAACAAACTCTATCACACACAAAAGATCCAGCTCCTCATCCCCTGCTCCTTCAAATACCCTTCTATCCCTTCCATCCACACTGCCACCAAAAAGAATGCCATCCCAACACAACTACCTAAGGAACTATATCTTACAAATCAATAAGACAATCAGAGAGAAACCTCCAACTTTTAAGAAAGTGCGAGAAAAAGTCTGCTTCTGATATGGAGGGCACAAAGCTCAGATACCATGGAAAGCAATATTAGACAGAAAATGCTCAGGAATGCAAGAGATTTCTCATTCAGAAACACAGCTGCTCTGCAGCTACTAAGTACAGCTGAGGTACTAAGGCAGCTAACTGCCAGTGTAGCTAACAGAATACAACTGTAACTAAAATTAACTCAGCTAATACAATTGAGCAAATCAGGGGTAACAACTGTGCTGTGGAGGCACCCCCTTTACTCTATTTTGGCGAATTCATAGTCAAAATATGCATTGGAGGATGAAAACATTTATAGGTACGAAACAGTAGCACATTCGTTGTGGCTAAGTATCTGATCCTCGTAAATTTTGTAATTTTCTTAAAGCCGGATTTATAAAAGAAGAATTATTGAATCAATGTATACAAAAATTCTAAGATGCTAGTGCTTCTAACAGACTCAATTTAATCATCAAAACCATAAATAAAAAAAACTAGGAAAACAAATTTAATTTAATCATGAAATCGATCATCAAGATCAAAATTTACTAATAAAAAAAATTTAATTAAATCACCAAAGCGAACATCAAGATCCATAAACCATACCAAACACACTCCGATCATAAGCCGATAAAACAAACAAATGTAACTTCCAGAGGTAAAAAGATTGTTGCTTTTTTTTTTACTGCTAAATTGCAATGTCCACGTAGTGAAAGCACAGGGTACAACTAGTTCAAAAGCAAGGTGCTGAAAAATCAACTCACAGAGATGACGAGGAGCGCCCGAAGAGGACTACCCCTGCGAGTCCAGAGGAGAACGTTCCGCCCAGAGTTTCTAGAAGCTTCGCGAAGCAGCGGACAGTTCTCGGCAAGAGAGTTTTTGATCCGGCGGAACAGCGGAGCAGCAGCGCCGGCACTGGTGGAGCCGGGGAAGAAAATAGCATCAATCAGACGGTGGAAAACGCCGATGAGAGTCTCCTCCCGGTGGGTCGCTTTGGTGTTGATCTCTCCGTCGTCAGCGATGTCGACGTCGACT